TGTGGGTTATAGAAGTTAAGTAATATTCTTGTTGGCTGCCTGTCTATTTTGCCTCTAAGGACATCATTTGCCATTAACCATCTCCACAACTTCTTGTGGTTCTAGTCCTGGTGGCTGTCTGTCTAACCATGCCAGGCACTGTGATCTGGCTTCTGTTATTTGAGGGCCCCCATTATGCATTCCTATGGGTATTAATGAGCCCAGCTCTGAGACTGCCTCACCCGCCATCCTCCCTGGCACACAGCAGACAGCCATCACTGGACTTCTTTGAGGCTGGTGCCCCTCCCACCAGTGCTTTCTGGTAGTCTTGGTGAGTGGTGTGTAATCTGGGACATATAATGGAACAAAATTGTCTAGCAGGTCTTCTGGTCTTCCCTAAAATATGCATTCCTTCATGCTCGTTTTCCTCAAACTCTTTATTTCTTCCTCCACCATATATCAGGGGAATTTGGGCATTTCCATTTTGTTGAGAGTTGGGAGTCAATGAAAGATGAGCGGACTGTGAGACAATGGTACAAGTCTGACCCTACGTGGCGGCAAGGGAGAAGAGAGGTTGGGTGGAAGTATGCCAGATGCTCACTCAACATCAAGTGAAAGTTGGCCATTATAGGCATCCTGTGTCTCCCAGGAAAAGGCCTGCCCTCCTGTTCTTGCTATATTCTGTCATCAGCTGGGAGCAGCCCATGGAAGCCTGGCCTTCACGCAAATGTGCAGTGGATTTCAGAATGAGGCAGCTGGGGTCCTTTGGGAGTTAAGCTCCAAGTTGCTGTCTGTGAAGTCAATTCTCACGATTACCAGAGTGTCCTTACAGCAAAAAGAAGTGTTTTCTAGTCCAAGCTCCAGCCTAGGATTACATGGTGCCTTTGTCTTGTCTTTTTAGTGTTCTTCAACCTAGAATGGGCTTTCAATTTGGGTTTGGGTTTGTTTAATGTTTTCTTTTCTTTTGCCTTTGAAACAGGGTCTTGTTATATTGCCCAGGCTGGTCTTGAACTCCTGGCCTTAAGCAATTCTCCTGCCTCAACCTCCCAAGCTGCTGGGACTGCAGGTGTGCACCATTGAACCCTCTAATGTTTCCTTATAGTTACATTCTCATTGTGCTGTTTGGTTTTGTTTTATTGGGTCAGGAATACATAAGAAATAACTGTTCTTTTTAGTGGCATGCAATTTAATTTTTCCTGTTGCTAATGATGTTAACTTGGATCACTTGGTTAAGGTGATATATTCCAGGAATCTCTGGAAAATTAGTGTTGTTTCCTTTGCAATAAATAAAGTATCTTGCAGGCATATACTTTGAGACTCTGTCATTACCCTCAGTGTGCTAAAGATCTGATGGGATACAGAGAGAAAATAAAATTCTGAGTCATACTTTCATTTCCTGTACTGGAAAAAAAAATTAAATATCGGACTTGACAGAAATTAAGCTTGGACTTAACTGAGCTCCTTCAGGAAAAACTGAATTACTTACTGAGATAGGAAAATCATCAGGACATTCTTGGACTTCAATGTGGGTACTGGAAGTGTCAGAGAACAAAGATTCTCCCTCCCATTCTCTGTGTGGGATTCATATAAACATTGACAAAGGATGTCTCATCCCTCCTGCAAGTCAACTTGTTCTGTCAAAATTTCACCCCACTGTGTCAAATGCAAACATTGTTCATAAGAAACAGCATAAACATGTTTATGCAAACTTTATTTTTTAAACTTTTTACCAAGAAAAGTGAAAACAAGTAGAAAATATTATTTTTCCCTGAGAAGTGAATGTTATTATAAACAAGTGGCTTGGATTTGAAAGAAAGTCTGCGGAAACACACATAAGGCTCTATGCTAAGATGTCTCACTGCTATAATTCTCAGTCCCCTAGTACAAGTTTTTGTAAAAAAACAAACAAACAAAAAAAACCACTTGGCCAGCCACAATGCCATTGAGCATTGAGCCCCATAATCAATCTCCCTGTGACTCTCATGGAGAATGCTGAAGCGGGTTTTCTGTAGTGAGGGATCTGCAGACCACAGCATGCAGCCTCCTAGCCTCACTGTGCAGACTGGGGGCAGTGACAGAGGTCACTGACACAGGGCTGGCCTAGACAGTGATTTTCCTTATGCTACTATAGTGATTCTTTCTGTGAGCGACTGTGTGGCCCTTATATGGTAACACGGTCCTTTAACAAACTAAACTGGCTGGGCGCGGTGGCTCAAGCTTGTAATCCCAGCACTTTGGGAGGCCGAGGCGGGCGGATCACGAGGTCGAGAGATCGAGACCATCCTGGTCAACATGGTGAAACCCTGTCTCTACTATAAATACAAAAAATTAGCTGGGCATGGTGGCGCGTGCCTGTAATCCCAGCTACTCAGGAGGCTGAGGCAGGAGAATTGCCTGAACCCAGGAGGCGGAGGTTGCGGTGAGCCGAGATCGCGCCATTGCGCTCCAGCCTGGGTAACAAGAGCGAAACTCTGTCTCAAAAAAAAAAAAAAAAAAAAAAAACTAAACTAACCTATTTAGTTTGTTGAAGCAAAAACAATGTAAACATTGCATTAACCGTGTGTGTGTGTGTGTGTGTGTGTGTGTGAGAGAGAGAGAGAGAGAGAGAGAGAGAGAGAGAAACAAGACAGAGAGAGAGAAAAAAGAGCAAATAAGCAGTTACGGCTCTTGGCATTTTTTTTTTTTTTTTTTTTTTGAGACGGAGTTTTGCTCTTGTTACCCAGGCTAGAGTGCAATGGCGCGATCTCGGCTCACCGCAACCTCCGCCTCCTGGGTTCAGGCAATTCTCCTGCCTCAGCCTCCTGAGTAACTGGGATTACAGGCACGCGCCACCACGCCCAGCTGATTTTTTGTATTTTTAGTAGAGACGGGGTTTCACCATGTTGACCAGGATGGTCTCGATCTCTCGACCTCGTGATCCGCCCACCTCGGCCTCCCAAAGTGCTGAGATTACAAGCTTGAGCCACCGCGCCCGGCCGGCTCTTGGCATTTTTTACCAGACAAGGCAAACCTAAAGATTTTACTTTTAAACTTGAATTAATACTCAGAATAAGTCACATCTGCTGTCACTTTCCTCCCACTCCGCACGAACAAACATGCAAACAGCCAGAAGAGCAATATTTTACCAAAGGCATTTGGCATTTTTCCTTTCTCATGACCCCGACACACTAGAAACTTAAGAATGTGGGAGAGGAGGGCTGGAACCAGAAATCCAGAAGTAGTGCTGGAACAGTTATGACCTAGAAGCCAGTGGAGCTGAGGTTTCCTGCAGGAACTTTTTTTTGGGTAAGGCGTGGATGCTTTGGAGACCAATGGGTATGGATGGAAAGAAGAGCAGAAAGAATCCAGCTCATATAGCAGTGAAAAGGAATGATCTAAATACATGAAAACATCTTTAAAGCAAAATGCTAAAGTGCGGGAGCAAGTTCTACAGAACACGTGCAATATGATACTTTTCTTTTTTCTTTTTTAAGAGACAGGGTCTCACTCTATTGCCCGTGCAAGGGTGCAGTGGCACAACCATAGCTCACAGCATCCTTCAACTCCTGGGCTTAAGCTATCTTCCCGCTTCGGTCTCCTGAGTAGCTGGGACTTTACAGGCATGCGTCACCACACTCAGCTAACTTAAAACAAATGTTTTGGCTGAGGATAGTGGCTCATGTCTGTAATCCCAGCTCTTTGGGAGGCTGAGGCGGGCGGATCACGAGGTCAGGAATTCAAGACCGTCTTGGCCAATATGGTGTAACCCGTCTCTACTAAAAATACAACAATTGCCAGGTGTAGTGGTGTGTGCCTGTAGTCCCAGTTACTCGGGAGACTGAGGCAGGAGAATCGCTTGAACCCAGGAGGCAGAAGTTGCAGCAAGTCAAGATCATGCCATTGCACTGCAGCCTGGCTGACAGAGCAAGACTCGGTCTCAAACCAAACAAACAAATTTTTTGTAGAGCTAGGATCTTGCTATTTTGCCCAGGCTGGTCTCAAACTCTGGGCCTCAAGCAATCCTTTTTCTCAGCCTTCCCAAAGTGCTGGAACTATAGGCATGAGTGACCATACCTGGCCAACATGATGCCATTTACATGCAGCTTAAATGCATATAAATGTGTTGAAACAGTATCATGTACTGATGAGGGACATATACACATATCATAAAAGTATAAACAGTTGCATGGAAATTAGTAATTTCAAATTCATAAAACTGTACTGGTTATCAGGTAGGTAGGGGACAAACGAGGGAATGAGACCAGCTGGGTACGCAAATATTGCTAATGTTATTGCTTAAGCTGTCTGGTGAATACACGGGTGTTCAATTTACTATCATTTTGTACTTTCCGCATACTTTACCTATTTGACAATACATTGAAAAATAAAAAAGTTATCCCATGACCACAGACTCCAGAGATAGGTGGTGTTTTCCAGACGCTTCCATCTGCCTTGATTTTCTGCTTAACTGGCCACCATCCTTATCTCCCTGTGCTGCGGAACCCCGACTCGGAGCGGGTAGGGGAAGGCGAAAACAGAGGCTTAATTTTCTGCCAGGTTTCGTCCCAGTGGCCACACCTACGCCTGGCAGCAAAAGAAGGGAGGCGGAACCAACACCAACATTCTGGAATTACGGGTGGGGGGTGGGGGGGGGAAGGCGAAAACAGAGACTTAACTTTCTGCTTTCCCGTTCTTCCCAGTGCCCCATCTACCAACCCGTCTCACCATACCCCTTGCCCCTCTTCCAGCACAGGGCTGGAGCAGCTGACGGGGTAATTCCAGTAGGAATCGGAGGCTTTGGAGGCGTCGGGGGAGAAACCTGCGGAGGGCTCTGCGAGTCTGAGGGTCCCAGGAAGACTCTGAGCGGGGCCGGGGAGGTTCTGGGGGACCTGGGGGTGGGCACCCAGGTCTCCTTCCCTGGGTGAAATCAGAACTGAAGATCGGAAAAAAAAAATTGAAAACACAGAGAAGCAGCAAAGAAGCGCTTCCCCTCCTCAGTCCTCTCCAGGCCACCCAAAGTTGACCAAGCTGTCTCTGCAGGAGCCGGCTTCGCGCTCCGCACAGCGGCGAGACGGGGCTGTCCCTCCGTCGGTCGCCTGCGCGAAACCCCGCCCCGGGAGGTGTCACGGAGCTCCGCTGATAAAAGCCCGGCCCTGCGGTGTCGCGTTCTCAGCTCTGGACTCGGGAGGCTCCGTTTCCTGCTCCTGGAGGGGGACGCGCTGCAGACGACAACCCCGGCGGGTAAGGAGCACCCCCCCGCGCGTCTTTGCGCGGCTCTTCCCCAAACCGCCCCGGCTCTGCGCGGGTTCTCCTACCGGGCTGTGGCGAAGGCAAGGCGTGGCGACTGCGGCTCCCCAGGTCTGGACGCTGCCGGGAGAGCCTCTTTCCCCCTGGGGAGACTTAGTTTGTTGACTCAGGAGCACCTCGAAGGACGCTAGCGGCGGAGGCCCCGGGAGCTGGGAGGCTCGGGGCGCGGGGCGAGCTGGGGAGGAGGGAGAGGCGCCGCCCAGCACAGCCTCGATCTCGGAGCAAGCCTGGCAACGTTTCCCACGGTTCAGGAGCACGAAGGACTTGGGGGGAACGACGAGATCGGGGGCTTAGGTTCCCGAGGGCGACGCGAAATGCGTTGCGGCCTGGGGACGAATAGGGCAAATGTCCAGTCTATTAGGAGAGGCTGCGTCCCAGAGGCTTGCCTAGAAGCCCCTGGCTGGGAACGTCAGTCTTCAAACTGTGACAACAGGGGCAGGCTGCTGGGGCGGCCCAAGAAGCCCTGGATCCCCCATGCAGCGGCTAAACGGAGCCCCTGTGGGTTCTGTCTGTAGTGGCTGAGACTGTGGTGTGATTCGCTTTCCCTTTTGCCCGAGTCCCAGGAGCCAGAGTCGTAGAAGCCCAAATTCAGGCTCACGAACCCGCTGTGCCCTTGATGCCGAACACTGACACGCCGGTGCTTGGAGACAGGGGAAGGTTTACTCCATTTGGCCAAAGCGAGAAGGCAGGGGGGCAAGATCTCTCAAATCCACCCTTAGAAAAATAAGTAGCAGAGAGTTTTTATGAGACTAGGAAGTAAGGTAGGGAGAGTTTCAGGGTTTCTTCATCTCAGAGGACACCTTGAACCATCAGACTTGTGGGCGTCAGCAGCTGGTCACTATGGTCTTCGAGGCATTTGTTCCTTCTGCAAAATTTTTTCATGACTCTGAGGCTATATCCTCCTGCTTGACAAACAGTTTATAATTACATTGCTAGAAGCAAGGAATATTGGGCAAAAATGGGTATTTAACATATGCAGACAAGGAGAGGTCTCATCAGAATTTTCATGGTTTCATCACTGAAATGTTGGGGTGCTGAAATCTCAAGGGGCTCCGTTGCACCAGAAGGGCATCATTTAGCACTAGCGCAAGCAGGAGGGGTTGCTTGAGGGAGAATGGGGGGAACTTTTCAATAGTTCCTACCCGTCCCCTACCAATAGGGGTTGGTTGGGCGGTGTTTCGGAGCCAAGCCTCAAGGAGAAGATGAGGGCAGTGCTAAAGTTTGGCTAGCCTTGCCCTGTGAGAACGGGGTGGAGACTGTGCCTGCCTTTGTGGGGAAAACGAAACTGATTCTTAATCTGTCTGTTGGGAGATGAGAGTTCCTGTGGCAGGATAAACAGGGAAGCAGTTCAGCGTGACAACATCCTGTATCAGAATTGTTCATTTAAATGTCACAAAAGGTTGGGCGCCGTGGCTTAAGCATGTAATTCCAGCACTTTGGGAGGCTGTGGTGGGCAGATCACTTGGGGTGGGCAAATCACTTGAGATCAGGAGTTCGAGACCAGCCTGGCCAACATGGTGAAACCCCATCTCTACAAAAAGTTCAAAAATTATCTGGGTGTGATGGCACATGCCTGTAAGTCCAGCTACTCAGAGCCTGAGGCAGGAGAATCACTTGAATTCCACCCCCCACCCCGCACCCCCGCCGCAGCCAAAACAAAAGTCACAAGACTTAAACTCTTTTGTCTGAGAAAATGAGCAGTGTTATTAGTTTCCATGTGAGAGGAGGAAGAAGAAAATGCTGTAATCCGCTCCTGGTCAAATTATGAAAATTCACAGATGTTTATAGCAGTCCCCCTTTAACCACGGGATATGTTGCAAGACCCTAAGTAGATGTCTGAAACCAGATGCCTGAAACCATGGATAGTACCAAACCCTATAGCTACTATGTTTTTTTTTTCCAATACGTTCACTGTTTCACTTAAATAAAGGCTCTTCCTTGGCATATCTGAACTGCCAGCATCACTACTCTGGAGATTTGGGGCCATTAAATGAAATAAGGGAAGCAGTATTAGAGTCAATATAAGTAAAAAGGCTACTAAGTGACTAAGGGCTAGTAGCATAAACGGGGAGAGTACACCAGACAAAGGGAATGATTCATGTCCCAGGTGGGAGCACATCCCCGGTGGGAGGACTCATGTCTCAGGTGGAAGGGAGTGGACAGCATGAGATTTCATCAGGCTACTCACAGTGAAATTTGAAAGTTATGAATTGTTTCTTTCTAGAACTTCTCATTTAATATTTTTGGACCAGAGTTGACTGTGGTAACTGAAAGCATGGAAAGCCAAACCAGGGATAAGGGAGGACTACTTTATACTATCAGAAAATAGAAATCATGTCCAGTATTATTGTCATGGCAAATGGAATCATATGATATACACTCTTTTATGTCTGGCTTCTGTCACTCAGCGTCATGGTGTTCAGATTCATCTTTGTCATTGTGGGTACCCATAGTTCTTTCCTTTTGATTATTGTTGAGTTGTCTTCCATTATATGGATAATCAATACTGGCTTCTTCATTCATCTGCTGATGGGCATTTGGATTGTTTCCAGCTTATGGCTTTTACAAATAAAAGTGTTATGAACATTCATGTACAAATCTTTGTATGGCACATACGCTTTTTTTTCTTCTTGGGTAAATACTTTGGTGTGGAAGGGCTGGGTCATATGGTAAGCATATGCAGAACCTCTTAAGAAACTGCCAAATTCTTTTCATTCTTTTCCAAAATGGTTGTACCCCTTTATGTCACTACAAGGAGTGTATGAGGGTGCCCATTCCTTCACATCTTCACCAACAACTAGTATGGTAGTCATTTTAGCCACTCTAATAGATGCGCAGTGGTATCTCTCTGAGGTTTTAATAGGCATTTCCCTAGTGACTAATGATGTTGAGCATAATTCAATGTGCTTATTTACTATCTATATATCTTCTTTGGTAAATTGTCAGTTCAAATATTTTATTCATTTTTAAATTGGGTTGTTTGTTTTTTTATCATTACTTTTTGAGTGTTCTAGGTATATTCTACATACAAGTTCTTCATCAGTTATGTAATTTGCAAACACTTTCTTCCAAGTCAGGGGCTTATATTTTCTTTTTCTTTTTCTTCAACTTTTTATTTTAAGTTCAGGGGTACTTGGGCCAGACATGCAGATTTGTTACCCAGGTAAACGTGTTGCCATGGTGATTTGCTGCAAAGATCATCCCACCACCTAGGTATTAAGCCCAGCATCCATTAGCACCATCCTGATGCTCTTGCTCCTCCTATTACCCCCTCGTCCAATAGGCTGGGGCTTATATTTTCATTTTCTTAACTGTGTCTTTCAAAAAGGAGAAGTTCTTAAAGTCTAATATATCTTTATTTTTTATTTTTATTTTTGAGACGGAGTCTTGCTCTGTCACTCAGGCTGGAGTGCAGTGACATGATCTCAGCTCACTGCAACCTCCACCTCCTGGGTTCAGGCAATTCTCCTGCCTCAGCCTCCTGAGTAGCCGGGATTACAGGCACGTGCCACCATGCCCAGCTCATTTTTGTATTTTTAGTAGAGATGGAGTTTCACCATCTTGGCCAGGCTAGTCTTGAACTCCTGACCTCGTGATCCACCCGCCTCGGCCTTCCAAAGTGCTGGGATTACAGGTGCATGCATGCCACCACACTCAGCTATTTTTTTTAAAATTTTTGTAGAGACAGGGTCTCACTATGTTTCCCAAGCTGGTCTCAAATTCCTGGGCTCAAGCGATCCTCCTGCCACAGCCTCCCAAAGTGCTGGGATTACAGGTGTGAGCCACTGTGCCCGGCTCCAATGTATCATTTAAAAAAATTTATTGTACATCTAGGCCAGGCACAAATTTCCTTGGAGGTTCCACTGAGATACCATCTGCACTGCCCTTGTGTGGACTCCCATTTTCAAACAGGTATGGCTGCTACAGAGGCACCTTACACCTTGCAGTGAGTGGCTTGTTGAGTTTGCACTGATGTGATAAGTCAGCGCTGGCTCTGAATGTCTCTTTGTGTTGAGTTCCTCAGCTCTTTATTCTCATGTGAAACCTGGGTTTCGTTATTGGTTCCCATATATTTGGCACCCTAGGTAGAATCAGGCCATTCGCTTTCACCCCTTTCTGTTCTCCTTTGGGTGTGTTTGTGTTGTGCTGTTTAAAAGTGGTTTGTCCCAAGAAGGAGGATGACAAGGTTGGACACAGGCATGGGTCCCACAAGCCTATTCAAGCTCACTCACAGTCCAGTGAGTCTGTGGTTGTCCCTGAATTCATGTCCATGTGGACAAACTTCTTTGTGGGTCACCTATAAAACCAGCTCAGGTTCTTTCCCCATCTTGAGTTTTTGTCCTGAGAGCTTCATTCTGGCCCACAGGGAGTACTGTCTCTGCTTCTCTGCCTACTGGGGGGACACAGATTGTCTAGTCTGTGTTAGGAGGTGGCCAACTGTAAGACTGGGGACCTGAGACAGAAAACGCACAAGAATTATACTCCTACTGACAGTCAACAGCTTTTGTGGGGTCTTCTAAGTCTAAACACCCTCCTCATCTAGAAAAACTGCTTCTTACTTGTACAACACTACCTCCTGCAGCTACCTTCCTAATGGCATGACTCCAAGGATGATCTGGGCCGTCAGTGGCTACTCTGGGGAACATTTGGCTTGCGCAAAATTGTTCATTTGATATGGACCTTAGAAAAGCAGGAATAAGACTTCTCAGGATCAATGGGGCTGCAGTTTTTTATTGGTAGGCAGAGGCCTCCAAATGAAATTCTGATCAAAAATTGCTTCATTACAAGATTCTTTGCCCAAAACCAATGGGAAACTTGATAGACGTACGCAACAACAAACTAGACTCATTTCCTTAGTCAATGTTTCTTTTTTTTTTTTTTTTTTTTTTTAAGACGGAGTTTCGCCCTTGTTACCCAGGCTGGAGTGCAATGGC